TACACACACCCTTAGTGAATGTTAGTTGTAGATAGCTTCTAAAGGCTGTCGTAAAATTTGACAGTGTAACCTATTCTGTATAGTCTTGAATAATTTGGATCATTTGATCTATTAAATATCTTTGAGTACCATTTAGATGGAATGGAACACTTTAGGTGTAACACTCTCTCATAGAAGAGAAGTGTTTTTTTATCCTATCTGTATAAGGAAATGGAATGCTACTTCTGTCTGCTCATTAAAGAAATCTCTTAACAGCATCTTCCTTGAAAGAATAAAGAGCAAAGTCTGTATTTCAGGAATTGGTGTTGTGCTTGTCTTTAAGCATTTACCATTGTACATGTTTTTCAGTCAGAGATTTAGAAGTATTGTTTTTAGAGAATTAAAATAATTTATTAGTCTCATATGAATGAACCTTATGATTCTAATTTGACAGATTTAAGATGTGATAAAGGTTAATCTCCAGAAATTTAGGTGAACAGTTGGCATCATGCATTATTTTCTATTTAAGCCTAATTCTTTGTTTGATTTATTTACCTAATAGGTTTTATTTGGCTATTAGTAACCATCAATGAATAAAACTGTTTGAATTTGAATTTCTAAAATTTCATGTATCATACAAGGTGTCAAGCTTAACATTTTAACTATAAGTGATAAGCAGTATCACGGTTTTTGGTTTGTTTTTTTAAACCATAGCATTTCACCACTGTATTTATATACAGTTCATTTGATTCTACGTAATAAACATTGATTTTAGTTCTGACTGCCTTTATATGTTGAATGGTTTCTGCCATAAGGGTTTATTCTCCTGAAATCAACCAGACTTCTAGCATTACCACCACCCCTTTTAACTCTTAATTCTGAGAAAGAGATATTTTCTTCCTTTCTCCCCTATACCACAGAGGCTTTGAGTATTCCCTGAATGTCAGGGGTTTAGAGTGAAAAGCAAAGAGAAAATTATTCTATAAGTAGATAAACAAGGCCTTGCGTAATGGGAGCATCAATAGAGGAAATAGACAAGGGAACATGTAATCATAACTCAGTAGGACAAACCCAATAACAAAAATGTGATACCTAGTACAAGGATTAGCACAGAGCAGAGTATAAGACCCATAGAGCAGGGGCTGTTTTTTTATTAATCTCTATATATCCAGTATTTAATAGGTTCAATAAATCAGTTAAATGAATGAGATTAATTCTGCCTTAGAAAGAGACAACAAGCAAGAAAGTCTACCCAAATGACACGAGATCTGGGGTTTGAAAGTCAGATAGATAGGTGAAATGGTAAGAGAATGAATGATAGCCATGGAGAACAGTGTGAGTGAAAACTGCATGCCATGTTTCACAAACTGTGAATAGTATGAATTGCTTCAGCATAAAGTGTAAATTGAAGAGCAGTTAAAGATGGAGCTATATTAGTGAAGAATTATACAGTTTCTGTGGGTTTCTTTGAAAAACAGAGAACATTTAAAAAATATAATCTGATCAATTTACATTTTCTTGAACACTTTCTAAAATGTGTTTTGAGGTACCTAAACCACTTCCTCAAAAGGCTTGATATTTTTTAAAGTTAATTAGAATTATTGTTGATTAAATACTTTCATTCTTTTTTTATATATAAATATCTTTATTTTTTGGCTATGCTGGGTTTTCGTTGCTGGGCGTGGGCTTCCTCTAGTTGTGGCGAGCGGGGGCCACTCTTCGCTGCGGTGTGCGGGCTTCTCATTGGGGTGGCTTCTCTTGTGGTGCAGCACGGGCTCTAGGCGCACGGGCTTCAGTAGTTGTGGCACACAGGCTCAGTAGTTGTGGCTCGCCTGCTCTAGAGCGTAGGCTCAGTAGTTGTGACGCACGGGCTTAGTTGCTCTGCCGCATGTGGGATCTTCCTGGACCAGGGCTCCAACCCGTGTCCCCTGCATTGACAGGGAGATTCTTAACCACTGCACCACCAGGGAAGTCCCTAAATATTTTCATCTTAATATTTATTATCTCTAGCAATTTAGCTTTATGTCAGATTTTTAGTATATTTACAATTTTACGTAATACATGGGATCGTTTGTGTAACCAATGATCATTTTACCCCTTTTGAATGATTTTTACCTTTTCAGTTGGTAAGATTTATAGTGCTGCATTTACATTTATGACATGCTGATGTTTCTTAAAGTATGACCGCATACTTCAAGCCAAGCTTTAGGGACTTCCCGGGCAATCCAGTGGTTAAGACTCCACACTTCCACTGCAGGAGGTGTGGGCTCGATCCCTGGTTGGGGAACTAAGATCCCATATGCTGCGTGGTGCAGCCAAAAGAAAAAAAAACGAAGTTTTATATAGAAGCCCACTGTATAAATAGATACAGTTCATGGACATTCTACTCCTTATGCTGATGGAGCTACTAGGACTCCTCCAAGTTGACAGTCAGGGGTTTAGTGGAAAGGGCTTTGGCCTAGATACCAGGAGGCCCAGGTTCAGCATTACTAGTTAGCTACAGGATTGTGGGTGTCTCCTTTTTATCATGTGCTAAATAAAGGGACTGAGCGAAATGACTTCTAAAGTCTCTTTTACTTATAAAATTATGTTGTTTTATAAATCTGTAGCTATATTTTATGTGATGCTGGAGCCTTGAATAGGAATGTAACCCCACTTATAGCTACATTTTCCGGGACTACATCTTGGTGAAACCAGGGGCTGTCTGTACTGTTTTTCATTTGTGAGATATAGTTTCTCTTGTTCAACATTTATAAGTTCCTCCCCACTCCCCCACCACCTCATGTATAGTTGAGATTTTGGTAGGATAGGTGGAGATATCTAGCAAGTAATTTGGTATATGGGTCTAAAAGTCAGGAGAAAAGTCAGGACTACAGATAGATTTGGAGTCATCCATGCAGGTGATAAAAATGTGGAAGTAAATGAGATTAGTTGGGAGAGAGAACAGAAGAAGGGAGCAGACAGACAAGGAGGGACTCCACATTTGAGGGGTGAAGGAAGATATGGAACTATATAAGGAAAAAGAAACAAAGAAATAAGAAGCAGAATAGATTGTGTCACTAATAATAAGAAAAGAGAGTTTAAAAGTCGAGAGCCCTCCACCAAAAAAAAAAAAAAAACCCACCATGAAGTGTTAGGATTCACTTTTCAAGGAAGATAAGTCAACCATGAAGTTAAAGAGTATCTAAGAAAACAGTTTAAGCCAATGAGGGCATGCAATTCAATGTATAAAAATAAAACTGTTCTCAAAAGTTCCAGGGTTTTTTTTGTTTCATTTTTAAAAGTTCTTTTTAATCATGCTTAGTGTTGAAGAGGAGTCTGTTTACAAGTTTCGTTACCTACACAGATTAGTCAGAATGTGATGGCCTGGTGAATAGAAAGCTGAGAAACATGAATTCTGGGTTCTAGTCCTTACTCCATCCATTATTTTAACTGCACAACCATTCAGTCATCTAATAGGGTGAGAGATTTGTAAGCAGATCAGTTACAATCAGGTTGGTAATAGCTATACCAAAAATGACAAAAAGTACTTGGGCAGATGATTTAAGCCTTTTGGGGCTCAGTTTCTTCACCTGTAAAATAATAGTAAATTGTTTTAAACGTCATAATTAATGTAGCACCCCTCACACAGTTCTGAATTGTCATAATGTTATTTGCCTCTAAAATACTTTTCTTTAAAAAGTATTATAAGTGCATATATATGTTTATATGCATGTCTATGTACTTTTAATATATATTTTTAAATTCATTATATGGTATACTTTATAATAAAATTTCTCCGTACATTGAGGCTGTCAAACCCTCAGCTAATGAGGTGTATGTAGTAGGACAGACCATACTAAATGCTCTTGGCTAGTGAGTACTGTGTACTTTCATCCAATGAGAGCTCTGAGAGCTCTACCGTCCTTTAGAGAGTTGAGCATATTTTGAAACATGTATTGTTTGTCTCCTGAAACTGATTTTTCTGCCGTTTTTAAAGTAGGGAACAGTTTTGACCCATAGTGAGTGACAAAGGGGTGCAAGTAAAGACTATCATGCTGGTTATTAAAATGTAAATTTTACAAAAACCGGTGGCCTAAGATGCCTCCAAAGAAATGGTTGAGGAAAAGGAAGGTAAAGATTATTGGGCATTTATGAATGAGTGACCATCAAGTTATCTTCCTGAAGCATAGACAGTCTCACATTGTCAAAAGTGCCCATTTTGTGTCCTTTGATATAGGGTGACTTTGTGTTCAACAGACATTTATCAAGCTTGTATTATGTGCCATGTACAGCGCTAGATGCTGGGGTTACTTTGATGAATAAGATATATCCCAGTTACTTTGGTGAATAAGATATATCCCTCTTGGATTTTATCATTGGGTAGGAAAGGTAGAGTTAAACAAGGGACCCATAGGAGGTCAATTTTTCCCAAGCACTACGTTGACTAAGTGTTCTGACTACCACTGGTTCTTGGCAAAAACCATATAAACTGCATCTTTTATCCCCAGCTCAGCCTCTCCCTCCCTCTCTATATTCCCACACTCCAGGACACGGTTTAAGAAAAAAAATGGAAATTATGCAATTAAGTATCTGAATCTCTAGAAACATGTTAATAAGCACGTATGGTGCACGTGGCTGGGAAAAAGGTTAAGAATTCCAGACTTGGGTCATAACATTCAAATCTGTATTTGCAAGCCAGACCATGTTCTTGAATACAAACCCACACTTAAAAAAACAAAATTATGGGCTTCCCTGGTGGCACAGTGGTTGAGAGTCCACCTGCCGATGCAGGGGACACGGGTTCGTGCCCCGGTCAGGGAAGATCCCACATGCCGCAGAGCGGCTGGGCCCGTGAGCCATGGCCGCTGAGCCTGAGCGTCCGGAGCCTGTGCTCTGCAATGGGAGAGGCCACAACAGTGAGAGGCCCGCGTACCGCAAAAAAAAACCCCCAAAAAACCCCAAAAACAAAATTATTTGTTTCGTTTGTCTAATTAGATGAAACAAGCCTACATTTTAATTACTTTGCTTTTTGTTTATAGGTTCAGGGGCAAGTTCATCCTACTCTTGAGTCTAGTGATGATGCTCTTCAGTATGTTGAAGAATTAATTTTGCAGTTATTAAATATGCTATGCCAAGCTCAGCCCCGAAGTGCTTCAGATGTAGAGGTATGATAAATTTTGCCTTGTGTCTAATATGTGTGTTTATTGTAATGTCAGTGAAGGGGGCAAGAGTTTGCTTTTCAGTTCCACAAAGTATATATATGGTATTTTAAAATAATGACTGGATTTATTTTAACTTTGTATTGAGTGTATGATAGCTTGTATATGTTTTTGCTGTCAGACTATTCCATTATTTGCTTTTAATCTAAAATGAACTTTTATTGGCCTGTAAACACTGCTTCTTGATGCTAGAATGACAAATATACCTTTAAGAGTGGAATTTGTCAAGTGTTTTTATTTGTTTGTTTTTTAAAGCCAGCTATCATTTCAAAAACATTTCAATTAATCCTTTAATCTTCAGTTGCTAGGTGTATTTTAGGTAGAAGTGAACCACTTTCCACCAACTGGAAGGGAGGGAAACATCTAAAAATCTAGGAAGGAAGTTCTGTAATCTCCTACAAAGATGACATGGCTCCTGTCTTTTTAGGGCTTATAGATTAGTGGAGATACAGGTAGGTATATGGGCGATAACATAATGTGATGTACTATGAGAAAAGGGTATGTGGGAAACGAAAAAAATGGGTAAACTAATAACACAGGCTTTGGGGCTTAAGGTTAGCTTCTCAGAAGAAGGGCCATCTAAATGGAGTTCTTGAGGAGTCAAGATTGAGAGGAGAAGAAAGGAGGCTTGAGTACCAACTATAGAAAACAGGAGATAGAGCTGGAAATACAAAAGGAGTTTTCTGGCAATGATGAAGGATCATTTGACTTTAAAGACCTTGAATGTATAGTATACAAATCTTTGCATTTCTGTGGCATTTCTTTTGCAGTACTCGTTTGGGCACAAAAAAGATGGTTGTGTTGAATGGCATTTCACCATGGATATATAATGGCAGAACAGTAGGGCAAGAGAATTGTGGAAATTGGTAGCAGCAGTGCTTTACAGCCCTTTTCAGGACACAGCACACTAGAATGTAATCATGATTTTGCAGTACACAGTGACTGGGGAGGAGGTGTATCTCTGTCTACCCCAGGCCCTGCTCTGTTCCCCTGAGGGATGAGGGATTGATATATAGTTATATTCAGTAGGAAGCTCAGCTGAAGAGAGCATCAGAGAATCAAATTGGATAAGGAAAGAAGTGAAATTTAAAAACAGCTGATATTTGAGTGCTTGCTATAGTATCATACACTGGTTTAAGCACTTCTATGTTTATGTTTCATTTAAAGTTTTTAATAACCCCATGAAGATATTGCTGTCTTTTCCTTTAATAAGATATAAGATCCAGAATATAAGGTCTTGTTCACTACCAAATCCCCAGCACCTAGAATATTGTCTGGCACTGAGAAGGCGCTCAGAAAGTATATGTTGAATGAATTAATGTGGAAACTGAAGCACAGAGAGGTTAAATAAGTTGCCCATGGTTACAGCTAGTAAGTAGTGAAGCCAAGACTCTAACCCAGAAAGCCTAAGCTTTCTGGGCATAAATTCTACTTAACTATTCTGCCAGGTAGGAGAGGGGAAGGTAGATTGGCAAAACATGGAGGGAACAGTATTGGATTTCCCAATAAGATCAGAGAGCTGATAACACTAGAATACCTGAGTGATAGAAATAGAAGAATAGATTGAGATCAGAGACAGAGTTGTTAGAATTTAGGATTCCTAAAGTAACATAGTTACAAAAGCAGGATGTGGCCATGTGGTGGTAGCTGGACTAGACATGAAGGTCCCTATAATGAAGTGTTCAAGGAGTTAAGAGGTCAAAGTTATTTTATGTGTCCTTAATTTAAACAATAAAGTCACACAGGATGATGGCAGGACTTTACATGAGAGTGGAAGAGTGATATTCCAGAATCAGCTTGGGGAGTGGAAAAGATGCTAAATCCACCTTCATGTGGGTTTTGGGACAAGGGCATTTCCTGCTCTAGAAGTCTTTAGGGGAGATCCAGATTTCAACTGAGGCAAAGAAATATTAAGCAACACTAAGTTACAGAGGTTGTGGATGTAGAAAAGATTGTGTACTGTGGAATAGTAATTCACTTTGATTTTTAAAGTAATTCAAAGTAGGTTTATACATTTTTATCCCATTTTCCATTGAATTATAAGTAAAATACCTTTTATTCATAATTTCCTTTAGGCACTTATTAACATTGGGCTTTCAGAGTAGATCTTGAATAGAAATGGTTGCCTGACTCTCCTTGTTAACAACTCCGTTTGATCTTTTGGACCCTGATAAGGTTCTCCCACAGTGTTCGTAAAATGTAGCATCCAATCCTATACCTAGTGTATTAGAATGGGGTTACAGATCGCATTATCATTCTGATGTTGGTATATTCCAGATATTTGCTAGTTTGAAAACACAAACTCAAATTCCAAATAATGTTGTACTATACCTATGTTTATCTAATTTTCTCCTTTTCATTAATATAAAAACTAACAATTTTCCAGTATTGAAGGAGATCTCCATGAATTCTCAAAAATTACTAATGAGTCTCTCAATCTTCCACTTGCACAGATTTAATCATTATGTAGGTACTCACGATTCTAGATAATAAGGGATATTTCATGGCTTTTTAATACTCAGAAAACTTCTGAGATATTGAAGATATTTACCCTCTGCCCTGTTGTGTTATTTTTAAGCAAGTAACTTGGACATTTAAAACAGACGTAGCCATGGGATATTCCAGTGAGCTGATGTTGTGGTTGGGAATGGACTTTTTGAAAGAGAATATATGACAGTAATAGAAGTAGCAATCAGTTGTGTAATAGGCTTTGTAATTTCAAAGTACTGTTATAGACATTTCTATGCCCTTCCAACAACCCTGTGGAGTAGTTATCATTCTCCTTGTTTTATATATTAGACAGTTAACCCGCAGAATGGTAGAACGGATTTTTTAAAAAGATGGAAATCTAGTTCTTTTCCAATCAATAGTCAAATACCCTTCTTTGTGTACCATTCCTGGAAGGGTATTTATTTAAGAATATAGAGATTGGAGATATTTAGATGAATATAATAGTGTGTTTAGATTCTTTTATCAGGAAATAATTTTCTTTAATTTCTTTAATGCATTTATGGAGCTTTCTTTTAAAATAATAAGGGCCATGACTTTAGCAAGCCCTTCAAATAAATTTTGAGGTAAGGGATAATTCAGGAAAAAAATTAATTTGAAGGCCATATAAAAAATGTGCTTTAAGAAATAGAGCAGTCTGATTTAGTGGAATATGTGAGTTTTATTTCTGAAGAATACATTTTGATTAAAGTATAAGCATAATTCAAAGTAGGGTGGCAATTCTTCCTTAATATTTGGCCCCTAGGGGATTTGTTTCAGTGAAAAACTAAAAGTGATTTTTAGTTGCCCTATAGTTTTAGGAAAATAGATACTTCAGAAGTGCTTGAAAACTAATGGGTTACATACATATCTATAATCTTGCTTATGCTAATTTAAAAGTTTTGATAAATTGTGCTACAGATTATCACAGACTATGAACTATCGTAGTTCAAATGAATGGGATTTTGTTCTGTTGATGTAGCTAATTTCACTAATCCATGGCACCAATATTTGAGTATCCACTATTTGTCAGGCAGTGTTCCAGATGAATAAGGTAGTATATATAAACTCCCTGGGAATGCAGAGAAGGGGTATATATTATTTGGTCCTGTCTTTTTTAAATTATGTTTTAAAAGATAGTGTATAAAAATTCCTCCAATCTGGTTTGCTCTCCCTCTCCTCATTTTGTATATTTAGTCATTTTAAAAGTAGAAGTAAAACCAGTAGTATTTTTTCTGATATATCCCTGATAAAGTATATATTTATTTATTTAAAAATTTTTATTTTATTGAAGTATAATTGAGTTACAATATTGTGTTAATTTCTGCTTTACAGCAGTGATTCAATCATACTTATATTGTTTTTCATATTGTTTTCCATTATGGTTTATTATGGGATATTGAATATAATAGTTCCCTGTGCTATACAGTAGAACCTTGTTGTTTATCCATAAGTATATTCTTTTTTTTTTAATTAATTAATTTATTTATTTTTGGCCGTGTTGGGTCTTCAGTGCTGCTTGTGGGCTTTCTCTAGTTGTGGCAAGTGGGGGCTACTCTTTGTTGCGGTGTGTGGGCTTGTCATTGCGGTGGCTTCCCTTGTTGCAGAGCACGGGCTCTATGCGTGCGGGCTCAGTTTTGGCACTTGGGCTCAGTAGTTGTGGCTCGTGGGCTTTAGAGCACAGACTCAGTAGTTGTGGCACACGGGCTTAGTTGCTCTGTGGCATGTGGGATCTTCCCAGGGCTTCCCAGGCCAGGGCTCAAACCCATGTCCCCTGCACTGGCAGGCAGATTCCTCCTAATCACTGTGCCTCCAGGGAAGTCCCCCGTAAGTATATTCTTTTAAATTTCTTAAGTCTTGTTCTTTCATAATTGTACTTGTTCTTTATTTCTCTCTGGTTGACTAGACTGATTTCCATTTGTAATATCTTTTTTTCCTTTCTCGCCTGTGTGTCCTGTATTTAACCAACTTTAATTTCTTAGGACACTGATAGATTTTTCCTCTCATTTAACTCAGGCTTTCTTTTCCCTTATAGGTTATTGCCTAATACTGAGTATAGTTCCCTGTGCTATACAGTAGATTCTTGTTGGTTATCTATTTTTTTTAACATCTTTATTAGAGTATAATTGCTTTACAATGGTGTGTTAGTTTCTGCTTTATAGCAAAGTGAATCAGCTATATGTATACATATATCCCCATATCTCTTCCCTCTTGCATCTTGGTTATCTGTTTTATACACAGTAGTTTGTATGTTTATCCTGGCCTATTAATTTATCCCCACTCCCACCCCCTTTCCCCTTTGGTAACCATAAGTTTGTTTTCTGTGTCTGTAAGTCTCTTTCTGTTTTGGAAATAAGTTCATTTATGTCTTTTTTTCTTTCTTTTAGATCCCACATATAAGCGATATCATATAATTGTAATTGTCTTTCTCACTTAGTAGGATAATCTCTAGGTCCATCCATGTTGCTGCAAATGGAATAATTTCATTCTTTTTATGACTGAGTAATATTCCATTGTATATATATATACCACATCTTCTTTATCCATTCATTTGTTGATGGACAATTAGGTTGATTCCATGTCTTGGCTCTTGTAAATAGTGCTGCAGTGAACATTGGGGTGCATGTATCTTTTTGAATTAAGGTTTTCTCTGGATATATGCCCAGGAGAGAGATTGCAGGATTATATGGTAGCTCTATTTTTAGTTTTTTGAGGAACTTCCATACTGTTCTCCATAGTGGCTGCACCAGTTTACATTCCCACCAACAGTGTAGGAGGGTTCCTTTTTTCCATACCTTCTTCAGCATTTATTATTTGTAGACTTTTTGATGATGGCCATTCTAACCGGTGTGAGGTGGTACCTCGTTGTAGTTTTGATTTGCATTTCTCTAATAATTAGCGATGTTGAGTGTCTTTTCATGTGCCTTTTGCCCATCTGTATGTCTTCTTTGGAATAATGTCTATTTAGGTCTTCTGCCCGTTTTTTGATTGGGTTGTTTGTTTTTTTGATATTGAGCTGTATGAGCTGTTTGTATATTTTGTAAATTAATCCCTTGTGAGTCTCATCATTTGCAAATGTTTTCTCTCCCATTCTGTATGTTGTCTTTTCATTTTGTTTATGGTTTCCTTTGCTGTACAAAAGCTTTTTAAGTTTTATTAGGTCCCATTTGTTTATTTTTGTTTTTATTTCCATTACTCTAGGAGGGGGGTCCAAAGAGATATTGCTGCGATTTATGTCAGAGAGTGTCTTGTCTATGTTTTCCTCTAGGAGTTTTATAGTATCCGGTCTTAAATTTAGGTCTTTAATCCATTTTGAGTTTATTTTTGTGTATGGTATTAGAAAACGTTCTAGTTTTATTCTTTTACATGTAGCTGTCCAGTTTTCCCAGCACCACTTATTGAAGAGACTGTTGTTTCTCCGTTGTATATTTCTGCCTCCTTTGTCATAGATTAATTGACTATAGGTAAGTGGGCTTATTTCTGAGCTGTCTTGTTCCATTGATCTATATTTCTGTTTTTGTGCGTGTACCATACTGTTGGGATGACTGTAGCTTTGTAGTATAGTCTGAAGTCAGGGAGCCTGATTCCTCCAGATTTGTTTTTCTTAAGATTGCTTTGGCTATTCAGGGTCTTTTGTGTTTCCATACAAATTTTAAAAAAATCTTGTTATAGTGCTTTGAAAAATGCCATTGGTAATTTGATAGGGATTGCATTGAGTCCTGTAGATTGCCTTGGGTAGTATGGTCATTTTGACAACATTGATTCATCCAGTCCAAGAACACAGTATATCTTTCCATCTGTTTGTGTCTTCTTTGATTTCTTTCATCAGTGTCTTATAATTTTTGAAGTACAGGTCTTTTGCCTCTTTAGGTAGGTTTATTCCTAGGTATTTTATTCTTTTTGATGTGATGGTAAATGGAATTGTTTCCTTAATTTCTCTTTCTGATCTTTCATTGTTAGTGTATAGAAGTGCAACAGATTTCTGCATGTTAATTTTGCATCCTGCAACTTTCCTGAATTCATTGGTGAGCTCTAGTTGTTTTCTATTAGTGTCTTTAGGATTTTCTATGTAGAGCGTGATGTCATCTGCAAACAGTGACAGTTTTAGTTCTTTTATTCCAATTTGGATACCTTTTATTTTTCTTTCCTTTTATCTTAGACTTTTTTCCCCGTGAGCTGAATCCTTAAATTTTAAAAGTTTGCTTTTCCTTTCCCATTCATTTTTTCTTTAACTTTCTTTCCTTTCCTTCACATCCTAAAGAATCTTTATAATTTCTAATAAGTTTGCCATTCACATTTTGATTTCCCAAGTGATTTCACAATATTTTCTACCTTTCTAGACAGAAAAATAAAATTCTTCTACACATTCTAAGCCTTTATTACTATTAATAGCATTTCAAAAGTACCTCCAGGTCTGAGTATTTACACTGAAGTGCATGTGTAGGAATTTTTATAGATCCTAGAATGTTTCTATTGGAATTGATCATCAAGATTATCTATTTAGACACCTTTATTATGTAAAGGAAAAGACAAGGTTCTGCTAATAAGAGACAGAGCTGAGTTGCAAACCTAGCTCTCTGTTATTTTTCCCAAAGCCACTAAATATCAATCAAGGTGGAATTTCTCAATTTAAAACAAAACTATTAATCTTGAAAGTGGCATGTTGAAAGTATCTTGAAAGAGTAAGACTTTATTTAATTCATGAATCTTTCATTGATCATTTCTCCTTGGGCTTCTTTACCTTAAATTATATAAGATAATCGTAAAAATAAATTTTATTTTGCTCTAAACTTGTAATTAAATTTGCCACTACAAGATACAAAGTATTTCTTTCAGTCTGGTCTTTCCACATTCAAGGCATCTTTTTTGACCCTATTAGTCTTTCCCATGACCTTTGGTATTACCTCATAAATATACAGTCCAGTAATACACTAATAAGTAAGTTTAAAATGTTTTCTTCATCATTATTATTTTCCCTTTCTTGCCTTCTCTTTCAGCATTCCTGACTTTCCTTCCCCTTCTTTCTCAAAACAATAGATAAACTCGGAGTTAGGTTGATAAAATTGAGATGGGCAAGGATTGCTGTTCTGTTTTCTTTCTCTTCTACCTCAACCCCTGCCTACAGTTTGCCTTGTAATTCTACTGATGATTTTTCTTCAAAGATGTATGTTAAATGTATTTAGAATTATTAGATTGAGTTCAGCTTCTGTTCTATTCTGCTGCTTTCTATCACCACTATACAGCAGTGCTTTTTAGATTCTAGGTCATCACCCCTTATGCCCAACTAACATTTTTATAAATGAATAGGAAAAATCAGTACATTGCCTATAGTAAAAGAAGGTTTTGTTTTATGAAACTTTGTTCCAGTGTACTATGTATGTGATGTATAAGGATGTAATGTAAAATGTATTAAGAACTTACTATTTCTTACTATGCATTGAGGTCCCCCCCCCACCAAAAAAATGTCAGCCAGCCATAGGGCTGTACTATTATAAGGTCTGTAATCATGGTTATACCTATTTATTCAGTTAACCATGGGTTAAACCCATCAGTATGAAATTTTTAATTGGGAATCATGGTAAAGTTAGTCCTAAATCTCTTGTCATTTTTGGATTATCAAGTCTATAGTATTGACTTGGAAAAAAGGAAAAGAATTCTTATTTTGGACCTTCTTTTCCACCCTTTTCCTCCTTCCTTTATTAGTCCTTTTTCACCTGCCGAACTCCCCCAGTATTTTGGACCTTTGTATTGCCTTTATTATATGAGGGTATAGAATCCTAGCAAATAGCTTTCCAACTAGACATTTGAAAATGTCTGTAAACTCCATTTTTAACTACAATAATTTCTGTCATTACATTTAAAATGATCACTTCTTTTTTTTTTTTTGCGGTACGCGGGCCTTTCACTGCTGTAGCCTCTCCCATTGCGGAGCACAGGCTTCGGACGCGCAGGCCCAGCGGCCATGGCCCACGGGCCCAGCCACTCCGCGGCATGTGGGATCCTCCTGGACCGGGGCACGAACCCGTGTCCCCTGCATCGGCAGACAGACTCCCAACCACTGCGCCACCAGGGAAGCCCTAAAATGATCACTTCTTATATTTAGAAGCTGACTTATCCTTGAACACAGATGAAGAGAAAATTTCTTAAATTTGAATGGGTTAAACTATTTTCAGTTTATAAATTTGTTATTAACATGTCCTGGAATCAATGTTTCCTTTCCCTCCACAGAATATCACATAGCAATCTCTTTTTCATTTTCCATCTTAATAGCAATTGACAAAACTTTTAATTTACACTTACCATCAGGAGTGATGTTAAACAGTTTTTATATATTACTAAATATGGAGCAATTTAAAATACATGTTAAAATTGTATAATAGCGACCTCTACTGGTTTTAATTATGGTATCCTGAAAGTGGATTTTAAAAACTTCAGAGCATGAAAGTACCTTTTGTTTGAAGTGAATTATATTAGTTTATTAAAGACGGGAAATTCAGCTTTTACATTAACATGAGTTCTTTCACTTTCAATGGAAATTCTAACCGGATAACTGCTGGATTAAAATGAAATATCTTGATAAAAATTAATAACCTTTGAAAGATTCAAACTCTAATGATAAGCTACAGTGTATTAAAGTTGCTGTTACTAATGTAAACCCTTGATTTCCATGATTTATAAATAGTTTTGAAGTCAAGTACCTTTGCATGATGGATAAAGGAAAAAATTCTTAGAAGTTTCAAGTAGAAAATGCTATTTTAGTTTGTAATTGGTGTTGAAATAAAGGACAAATGAGAACTGGATTTAGATATATTCTTTTTGAGCTTAGGTCTTGTTCCTTGAAATTTTATATAAGTAATGTTTTAAATAGCGTCTGCTCATTCTTGTCATTAGCTTTACCACAGTGAAGTTGAAATTCAGAATGTGATTTTTCCCCTAGTTAATAGAAGGAACATTTAGTCTCTTAATTGTGTAATTAAGAAACTAGTACATTGGCAGTTATAGTTTTCTCTTAGCTTAGGTATGTTTGTAGTATAAATTATACTACATGTGAAAGCCTGCTTTTGGTATTCTTTGATTTTAAAAGTAAATTGTAAGTGAAGAGCACTATTTAATATATTTGTTGCTTAGTTGTTGTTTTCCTATTTTCTAAGGAACGTGTTCAAAAAAGTTTCCCTCATCCAATTGATAAGTGGGCAATAGCTGATGCCCAGTCGGCTATTGAAAAGAGGAAGCGAAGAAACCCTTTATCTCTCCCAGTAGAAAAAATTCATCCTTTGTTAAAGGTAAAGCTGAAATACTGCCTTCTTGCCTTTTAAAAGCAAAATAAAACCCATGATTTTCAAACACAAAGAGTATGTTTTATGGATAATAGAGTCAACTGAAGAGTGACGTTCTCTCGTTTTAATTTTTCCAGGAAATTATGTCATGGGGAGGGATGATATAATAGGAGACTATAAGTTGGGCAACATGACGTAAAGTAATTTCATACCAACAGTAATAATCAAGCAAATTGAAAGCACTAAGGAAAGTTATAATTGTGGATTTTGTTCATCTCAGATGTTAATAGAACCTCAAAGAGAACTTGTAAAACTCCTTTTTTTGTTGGCTAGACCTAAGTGTCCCTATAAATCCTTCACATAGTTAGATGTGTAGGGACCTCTGTGAGACTTCCATAGGGCTATGTGTAATCGCTGAACAAAAATTCCATAAAGATCACCTATACTATTTAGTCCTATTTGTCATTTATATTAGTCAGTCAGTCAGTTGAGTCTCTGTTGACTCAACACCAGAGTCTGTTGACTCAACAACAGTTGAGTCCCTCCAGAACTAACAGAAAAAATAACTGCTGGGAACTCTAATAATGTGATTTCTTTTTTATTCAATACAATGAACAAACTATTGATTAACTCACATCAAAAATATAGGTATAATAACAATTAAAACCTTAATAATACTTCTCTGATATCAATAATTTTATGTGTACTATAATACAAGTAAAATGCTGATGCTTGCATACATTATCTGTAGGTTTTATTATTGAACAGAGTTAATTATTATCATCCCCACTTTGTAGATGAGATAACTGAGGCAGAAAGTGATTAAGCAACTTTTAGTTCACAGGACTCTAAGTGAATAGCATTAGGAAATCCACGTCTGTTTGATCTTGTACAAGATTTAAGGCTGAACACTTGGGTGATTAAGACTATCAAAAGGTTACCTTTTGTCCTTTGTTGTTTGAATAGAAATACCTACCTATATCTTACTAACTGGTCTGAGGAAGTAAGTTCAAGTTATAGAAAATTACTAAGCTGTTAGTCATTGCACTTCTTTATAATTCTCTTTTCATGATTTTTATAGCCATACTTTGAATTATATTCTAAGAGAATTAACAAATTGAGGTATGTGCATGCTGTATTAATGATTCTAAATGTTGCATTTTAGGGTCTAATTGTGGGTATCATTTCAATTTATTAATATATCCATATCACTATAAACAGTTAATAGTTTTTACATATTCTTAAAGGTAAATGCAACCTGTTCCCAACTTATAAGTAAACTTTTTTTTTTTTTAAGTATAGTTGATCTACAATGTTATATTAGTTTTAGGTGAACAACATAGTGATTCAATATTTTTATAGATTATACTCCATTTAAAGTTGTTATAAAATATATAAGTAAACTTATTATTTTGAAGTTTTTTTTCTTAATTGGATTGTTTAGAAAATAGAATTTATTTTCCTATAGGAATTGGTCAGCCCCACAAAAGCCCATACTCTCTTTGAAGTCTAATAATAGGACTATTTAATGTGCCCTTAATAACCACTGTTGTTCAGCAAGACATAGCATGAATTTTTTTCCACAGAAACAGCCCAGATACCAGGAATGAATGTACCACTAGGGTTTTTAGGAAGCCCAGGTTCCTTTGGAAAGAAAGATAGAGGTATAAGGATGGTAGATATTCCCAGATACCAATAATATATTAACTCTTGTTCTGCATAAAGGAAAAAACCCGCATTTGTCATTGTTAATTCCAGGTATTCTGAATTAGGTAACAATGAGCATTTTCCCCCTCCCCCAAACTTGGACTCTCCTTCCTAGTTTAGGGATTATCTATTTACTTATCTGTACTTCTTAAGTAATTTACATGATCATAGGTAATTTTGCCTTACCTTTTCTTAGTTTACATTTTCCAATAGCAATATGTATATTATTCATAGATGAACTACCTAAAATTAAATGCTCTTTATAATCACACGCCTCAGTAAAAGTTAAGCTAAACTGTATACACTTTAAAAAAATCAGTGTGTCAAAATTTATAGTAAATAATTTTAAACATGCTTTTCTTTTAATTTTTCAGGAGGTCCTAGGTTATAAAATTGACCACCAGGTTTCTGTTTACATAGTAGCAGTATTAGAATACATTTCTGCAGACATTTTAAAGCTGGTGGGGAATTATGTGCGAAATATACGGCATTATGAAATTACAAAACAAGATATTAAAGTGGCAATGTGTGCTGATAAGGTAGGATACTGATCTATATGTTTTGCTCTTAAATTTTTATTCATGACTTACCGGGTGCTAACATACTCCTCAGACAGAATAAAATTGTATATTGTTTGTTAGGGCATACTTTTTTAGTAATCTAATGGCAAGAACTCCAGATATCACTTTATGTAAATAAAGTATTATATATTATAGTATTTAAACGTGTTTAAGTATGTCATGTAGCTTTTCTTTTATGTGTTGCTGCATGTAGGGTTAATAACAGTAATAATCTCTTCTTAGTGAATTTCTTAAATTTTTATTTGGATTGGAAGACTTAGAAGATTATGGATTTACTTGAAAAGAATATTCAAAAATGTAAAAATACTGGGTTGGCCAAAAGGTTCATTCGTAAGATGGCTCTAGTAGTGCTTAGTTGTCTTTAACTTCATTCGAAACAGTTTTGTTAGATTGTATTGTGACAGCTGTCATTTCAGTGTGCATTTTAAAAAAGCTTATCAAAATTGGTGAATTTTTGTGTAGCCATTTTAATATTGAAGATGTAAGAAAAAAAGCAACATTTTCAGCTTATTATGCTGTATTATTTCAAGAAAGGTAAAAATGCAACTGAAACACAAAAAAAGGTTTGTGCAGTGTATGGAGAAGGTTCTGTAACTGATTGAACATGTCAAAAGTGGTTTGGGATATTTCGAGCTAGAGACGTCTCTCTGGATGATGCTCCGCGGTCAGGTGGACCACTTGAAGTTGATAGCGATCATATGGAGACATTAAATGAGAACAGTCAACGTTATACCACGTGGGAGATAGCGAACATACTCGATATCCAAATCAAGCATTGAAAATCATTTGTACCAGCTTGGTTATGTTAATTGCTTTGACGTTTGGGTTCCACGTAAGTTAAGTGAAAAAAATCCTTCTTGACCATATTTCCGCCTGCAATTCTCTGCTGAAACGTAATTAAAACATTCCATTTTTAAAACAAACTGTGACGGGCGATGAAAAGTGGATACTATACAACAGTGTGGAACAGAAGAGATTGTGGGGCAAGTGAAATGAACCACCACCGGCCACACCAAAGGCCGGTCTTCATCCAAAGAAGGTGATGTTGTGTATATGGTGGGATTGGAAGGGAGTCCTCTATTATGAGCTCTTCCGGAATACCAAACGATTAATTCCAATAAGTACTGCTCCCAACTAGACCAACTGAAAGCCGCGCTCGACGAAAAGTGTCCAGAGTTAGTCAACAGAAAATGCATAATCTTCCATCAGAATACTGCAAGACCGCATGTTTCTTTGATGACCAGGCAAAAAGTGTTACAGCTTGTTCCCAGCTTGGCTGGGAAGTTCTGATTTATCTGCCGTATTCACCAGACATTGCACCTTCGGATTTCCATTTATTTCAGTCTTTACAAAATTCTCTTAATGGAAAAAATTTCAATTCCCTGGATGACTGTAAAAGGCACCTGGAACAGTTCTCTGCTCAGAAAGCTAAAAAGTTTTGGGAAGGTGGAATTATGAAGTTGCCTGAAAAATGGCAGAAGGTAGTGGAACAAAATGGGTGAATACGTTGTTCAATAAATTTCTTGGTGAAAATGTATCTTTTATTTTTACTTAAAAACGAAGGAACTTTTTGGCCAACCCAATACTAAACTCTTGAGAGTTTAATTTCATTGCCTAACTTTCTTTAGATACTACTTGTATAGTTTTACTATGATTAAGAGCAAACATTTATTGAAAGTTAAGCATATATGCGACTTATCTCATTTGGTCCTTATGATATCCCTCTAAGGTAGATGCTCTTATCTACATTTTATAAAAGGGAAACTGAAGTTCAGAGATAAAGAAATTGGTCTAGAATTTTCTGAGAAGTTTCAAAGTCTAGACGTGAACTTCAGATCTGAGTCTAAGTCATTGCACTGTACTGCCTCAGTAATTTTATTTTATAAAAATGAGGTTTCAGAAAAGAAAATATTTTCTGATGAAGCGTCTCACTCCCTTTTTTCCAACTATTATTGATTCGGAATATTCTTTCTGATTGCTGAATCCACTTAAATATATTTTAGTATATTTCTTTCAGAATGTGAAAATCACCTCATCTGAAGGATTTCAAATGTTTTTATTTCTTAATGAATGAGTATTTGATTTTAAAATAGTTATTTTTCAATGAATATAAAATATTTGATACTTTTAAGTGAACTGATAAAATATTTCTGAGTATGTAGTACATGCTCACACAGAGAAGAGATGCAAGAGAAATATAGAACGAGACTGTAGATTTGATGAAAGGGTACTTATATTTGTGAAACAAGCAGAAAGTAATACAAGATAAAATATTTTACTGTGATACAGGGATAATGATGTCGAAGTTCACAGGAGGGAAAAGATAAGGTTTAGCAAGAGTAGTAATAGTAGACTTCTTGGGAAAAAACAGGACTTATTTTGTTCAGTCACCAGCAAACATAGGAATTATTCAAATATGAATTATGTGAGGCACTGGAATGAAGTGGTGATGTCAAGGTTATGAAACAGAGGAAAGAAACTAAGAGAGAAATCCAAGACAAGGTTTGGAAACAAATTAGAAGTAATGCACGGTTAACAAGAGAGACAGACAGACAGATACTTGTATTGACAGAGAACTTGGAAGAGGCAGTTTGTGATACCTGTTGTAGAATTTTTGTCTTAGAGAAGCTGTGGAGGGGGAAATGACATTATATCCGAGAAGAGGTAATTGTGTGTCTGCTTATTATCATTTAAGAACTGTATTCGAATAATAGCTTAGGGTGCTTCACTTCAAGTTGAACTACAGATTCATATTTTATTATACTTTTTTCTGTCTCTGACTGTAGGTATTGATGGATATGTTTCATCAAGATGTAGAAGATATAAATATATTATCTTTAACTGATGAAGAGCCTTCCACCTCAGGAGAGCAAACTTATTATGATTTGGTAAAAGCATTTATGGCAGAAATTCGACAATACATAAGGGAACTTAATTTAATTATAAAAGTTTTTAGAGAGCCCTTTGTCTCCAATTCAAAATTGTTTTCAGCTAATGTAAGTATCATTGAATAAATGTATATCATTGCATGTGTTGTTAATTTTACATGACCACTCAAATCTGAATTTGTATAGTTCATGATTGCTAATTGGTCCATTTTTTTAAAGTAGTGGGATTTAATTCATCATGACTGTGATCAAAAATAAAGTTGCTACAACAGTTTTGATAAATTAAACATCAGAAATTAAAAGACAAAATCTAAACTAGACTGTGTAAGTACAAATGAATTCACAGACTCTTCCATGCACTCCAAAGAATAAAACCTCTTGTTTAGGTGGAAGATTTCTATGTTTAATTTGACTCATTTGCATCATTGAACCAACACTTCATCAGGGCTGCCTATATTTTTGATGTCATACTTGTCTTGACTGAATAAAAAACTGTTCTTCTGTCAAGTTTAGTCCAGTCAAGACAGAAATGTAAACTTTAAATTAAATTGCAATACAGTGTGGTAATTACCATAAACAGAAGTATGACAACAGTATTTTGGGGAGCACAAAGGAAGGTGCCAATAACTGAAAATTAGAGAAGGGACTGCTGATCTTACAGTAGTAATTAGACCAACCTGATTGGGTCCTGGAGAAATGCTAAATGGGAACAGTTGAGATTGTCTAAGGGAGTTGCATTCTAGTAATTTCTAGAAATGTAGCTACATAGTCACAGGTGACTGATGGAGAAGTGGTGCTCGCAACAGAGGCTGAGACTGGTATTCACTCACTGTTATGGCAATGAGCAGACATTAAAAAATAAAGGAGTAGATTTTGAGTTGCACAAATCTGTAAATATAGTAAAAAAACATTGAATTGTTCACTTCAGGATGAATTGCATGGTATGTAAATTATATTTTAATAAAGTTGTTTAAAAACAAAGTGGTAAAGAATAGGCAAAGATTTCTTAGGACACAAAAATCAAGAACCATAAAATTAAAAATTAATGAATTAGACTTCATTAAAATGAAAAAAACTTTTGCTCTTTGAAAAGCATTGTCAGAAAAATAAAAATGTAAGCCACAGATTGTAGGAACCTATTTGAATTACATATATCTAACAAAGGGTTTGTATTCAGAATATATAAAGAACTTTTGCAGTTCTCAATAATAAGAAAAACAGCCTGATAGTTTAGGTGGGCAAAAAATTTGAACACTTTATAAAAGAAGGTATGCCAATGACCAAAAAGCACATCAAAAGATGCTCAACATTAATAGTCATAAGGAAAATGCAAATTAATACCATAATGAGACACTACTACACATTCATTAGAAAAGCTAAAATTAAAAAGACTGACAATACTGAATGTTGAAAAGAATGTGGAGCAACTGCTTTTGGGAATGTAAAATTCCCACATTGCTTGTGAGAATGTAATCTGGTATAAATATTTAGGAAAAGAATTTGGTAATTTCGTATAATATTAACCATAAGCTAGACATACAACCTAGCAATTCCACTACAAAATCACAGTTGGGTAAAACATCCATTCAAAGTTCAAAATGGACCAGTGGATTTTAATGTACAAAATTTATATAGTTTCAGATTCTACGTTGCAACTAACCTATAAGAAGCTACCATTTATTGACTTGTATCATATCATAAAAAGATATTCACTCCATATATATGAAATTTCCAGAACAGGCAAATCCATAGAGATAGAAAGTAGATTAGTAGTTGCCAGAGACTGGGGATGGGTGTGTCGGGGAAGAATGGAGAGGGCTACTACTGGATATAGCCTTTCTTTTGGAGGTGATGAAGATGTTCTAGAATTTGATGGTAGTGACGATTGAACAGGCTGTGAATATGTGAAAGTACACTTTAAAAGGGTGGATTTTATGGTACGTGACATATCTCAGTGAAGAAACTATGGAGAAAAAGAAAAGGGTATCCTTAGTTATTTGAATAGACTCCTCCCTTTTCCAACTACATGTCTTTGTAAAGCTAGATTTTCTTCATATGCTTTAACCAAAGAAACGTATCACAACAGATTGAATGCAGAAATATACATGAAAAGCCAGCTATCTTCTGTTAAACTAGGTGTTAGAGATTTGCAAAAATGTAAAACAGTGCCATTCTCCTCACTAAGATTTTGTTGTTCTAGAAAAATATAGTTACTTTTCATAAAAGAACTCTTTATTGTTATTTTTAAATGAATTAAATGTTTTATAATTTTCTTGGTTTTAATTTCTAATATAGTAAATGTTGATAGTAAATAATTTCTAATATAGTAAGCAAAAGCCCTTTGGAGTTTTCAATAATTTTTAAGAGTGTGAAGGAGTCCTGAGAACAAAAAGTTTGAGAACCAGTGACCTAGAGAAATGTGTTTTGCAAACTATACTTCATTGCCAAAGGAATTGTCTTTTACTTATATTTGTAAGTTGTTAAAATTTCTCACTGTATCTGCCATGTTAAATTTCATGATTATAAAATGACTTATTGGCTCAAAATTTGTTTTATTATACCACCTAACTGAATTAATGTGTTTTTCATCCCAACAGGATATAGAAAATATATTTAGTCGTATAGTGGATATACATGAACTCAGTGTAAAGTTACTGGGCCATATAGAAGATACTGTAGAAATGACAGATGAAGGCAGTCCCCATCCATTAGTAGGAAGTTGCTTTGAAGACTTAGCAGAGGTAAGTAATTATACACCAAAAAAGTCTGCATCTAGAAGGCCCGACATTTGAATTAAAATTGGAATCTGAATTCTTGTTTCCAGCTAACATATACATTAACTGCTGACCACTCAACTATATTGCCTCTTCCTCAAAGGGTCATTGTCAACATTTGTTTCCATTATCTCACGAAACTTAGAAAAAGTAGTTTCTCATCATTATAAAAAACAGATCCCACAGCTGACACTTAATTGGCTATCTTATCAATGAAGAGGCCACAGAACTTGGACCTGAGGTCAAACTACTTGTGTTCCAGTCTAAAATCTGCTACTTAGTAGTTGTATGTGTCCGTGGGCAATTTACTTCACATCTCTAAACCTATCTATATTTGTAAAAGAAAGATAATAATAGGACTCAGGATTTTTTGAAAGTTAAATAAAATAACTTTCCTGAAATATTTAGCTAACCAGCTTCATACAGCTACTTAATATATGGTAACTGTGCATAATTATTTAGAATAGGAGGGATGAAGTGAATAGGGAAATTAAGTCCAGGACCTAGATGATTCAGATATCATAGGGGTAGAAAAATGGTAACCTTCTCCTTGATATGTCAAGTGCTAAAATACTGAGTTAGCCCTTATAAGTTAGCATTGATAGTCATTCTGAAATTTCTAGCTCTTTGTTCTCATTCCAAAATCAACTATATCTTTTTTTTTTTTTTTTTTTTTTTTTTT